TAACTTGTTAACTATAACTTGTAACTGCTGAAGTGTAACTGGTTAAAAACTGGTGTTCTAATTTAATAAAATCTAAGGGATGTTTCTCTCTCATTAAAAAAAGTCCAATTAGTCTATTATAAATTACAAAGTGGCAAATAATAGCCATTTGCTTTTTGGCCAAAAAAACTGTAAATTAGTTTGTGTATCTTATGAACTAAGACTCATTTGTATATTTTTTATCTAAAATATTCTATACGCAGTTGTGGGAAATATGCATAAGACAATTTTGTTCTTAAAGCACTTAAATCTAGTAGGAAAGATAGATAAACAAATGGCATAATAAAACAAAATGTGAGTCCTAAAATTTCTTTCTCTCAGTCTTTGTGAAACATTTCTACCTCTTCCATCTGGCCAAGCCTTTTTTAGGCTCACCCTACTCACTGTGACTTCACTCCTGAACTACCCTTTATCTACACCAGTGTCTTGTAGCTGCTAAGTTTGAACCACCAATTTACTACTTGGGACTCTTCATAATGTTCTCTGTGTATCACAGATATTCAATAGTTAATTGGTAGTTAAGAAACTGCGAACACAATAAGAAATACTGGTGATGTAGTGGTTAAATCCTTGGCACCTAACAAAAAGGTTAAAGAATTGAACCCACCTGGCAATGCTTCGAATGAAAGACCTAGGAATCCACTCCCATAAAGACTACAGCCTAGGAAATCCTGTGGGGTCTCATGGGAGTAGATGTGCTCCATGGCATATCAAAATCTGCTCCATGACGTCTAGTAACAGTAATCTTTTACCTCGTGTTATAGGTATCTTTCTGACTTTTTTTAATTTAAAAGTTGGGCCCCTTTTTGAAAGGGACATTTTGAAATTTTTAATTGACCTCCAAAATGAAAATAAAGATTCAAGTCAAAGATTTAGTAACTAATGCTTGAGAGCAAAACATTAAAAGGTTTTTGTTTTCCTTAGAAAATACTAAAATATGTCATGCTAAGCTTAGATGTTACATAAATACTAATGACCTTCTGGAGTAGAGTTCTGGTTCATAAATAGTATAAAAAATCCGTCTTAAAAATTGTGACATACAAGTGTGCTCGAAAAAGTTCATGGAAAAAATTCTGTTGTCAGTTCCAAGTTATACAAACTTTTTGATTCCCTCTCGTGTGCACATTAAATTGTCATTGAGAAGTAATAGTTTTCATGTTATAATTGTGTTCAGCCATGCAAACAAACCTGAACAGTTAAATATTCTTATAAAATGTACTATTTTGAGAATTTTTTTTAACGAAGGGATTTAAAGTGCATTTTTTCATATGATAGTGCTATCAGTGTTTCTGTGATGTGTGAATACTTAATTTATAGAACAAGACAAGTAAATCTGATGTCAGTGATCCTTGGAATTTGGATAAGATGATTTGAGTTCTTGGTTGGCAGGACAATTGATGTCTGGCTTTGTGTGATTGCTGATGTAAATCAGCTTGGCGTCAAAACATTGCATTGGAAGAGTTTCTTTTATATGGCCATTTCTGTACATAAAGGAAAAATATATCAGGGACTAAACTATGATGGAAATTTTTTGAATCACTGTTAATTATTGTCTAACCAGCTTGAGCCTAAGTATGTTAATTAACACTGTGATCTCTTAGACTTTACCACTTGTTGATATAGATTGTTGTACAGAATTTATATGCTAAGAGCAAAAGAAGTAACTCTCAATAGAATATAAAATGATTAGTATAAACATACAAGTATAATGTAATTTTTCTTTCACAGTGCCTTAGAATTTGCAGATCATTCTTTTAAATCTGTAATCCAAAATTTTAATTGTATGTGAGTAACAGACTAAGTCGGATATTCTTTATAGTACAGCTGAGATATTTATATTTCATCAACTTTGGGACATGATGGGTAGACTAGACTCAGGTTAAATACTAACCTCAAAACTCAATGCTATTGAGTTGATTCCAACTTACGGCCATCCTACATACAGGTCAGGGTAGAACTTCCCCTGTGGATTTCCAAGACTAACTCTTTATGGGAATAGAAAGCCCCATTTTTTCCCATGGAGTGGCTGCGTGACTTCAAACTGCAAATTTTGCAGATTGTAGCCCATGGAGTAAAACCCCTACGCCACTAGGGCTTCTTAAATAGTAGATAAATTTAATTGGGGTAAGAGTACTAAATTAATGTAAGAAGCTTTAGTGCTGTCTATCCAATGGCAATGACGATAAAAAACCAGGAGGAAAAACCTATATTAAAAAAATAATGTTTAAGTTCAATAATGTGCCTACATATCAATCCAGTTTGTATGTATTTGAGTACCTTCTTTGTCCATAAATTATCAGCATAGATGATAAACACAGTGGTTAAAATAATAAGTTAGATGAGAACATATTGGACTGGAGTCAGCAAAATCAAGCATCGAGTCAGAAGATAAACTCCAGTCAGATTTTGAAGTCAGCTGTGCATTGAAAAGAGTTAATACATTCTAGAGAAGGGATCTTGCAGACTTGGCAGAGATTCCCAGTGTAGTCATACACGTGAATTATTCATCTGTCTTCATTGATTATAAAAATGTTTCAAATATTATCTGTCAAATTCAGTGTTCAAGTATTGTTGGTTTATAAAAAAGTAAAAATCAATAGGTCCCTTTACAAAATTTTTTTAAACTGCCTTGGCATGGAGCCCAGGTAGGCTGCATGTTGGACTGCCTAACCTCAAAGCCAGTAGTATGAAACCACCAGCTTCTCTGAGGGAGAGAGATGAAACTCTACTTCCATAAGATATTTTGGAAACACGGGGGGGCAGCTTTGCTATTAGTTGGAGTCAACTGGATGGCAGAGAGTTTGGGTTTTGGTTATTGTAAGAAAAACGACTTCATATGGACATTAAAAAATTTTTTTTTGAGAAATCTATAAAATTCTGGTTTTTCTAGAGGACTAGCCGTAAAGATAATGGATTATACATTGAGCTGGTATAGTGGGTTACATATTGAGCTAACCCAGATTGGTGGTTCTCACCTACCTGTAGCTCTGCAGGAGAAAGGTGAAGCTTTCTACTCCTGTAAAGATTAAATTTCAGGAACCCACAGGCACAGTTCTACTCTGTCCTTGCAAGGGTCTCTATTTAAATGGAATCAACTCAATGAATGTGAGTTTGAGCCAAAGAGTTTCTGACTTATGGTGACTCCACAGCCTTTTATTTTCTGTAATCTTTATGCAACACATCTTTATCTTGTGTTAATGTGACAGTTATGGGCCGGACTGTGAACCAGTTGTAAGGATGGTAGCTTTAACTCACCCAGCTGCCTCTTGGGAAAAAGAACTGTTGATCTGCTTCTATAATGATTACTGCCTAGAAAAACCTATTAGACAGTTAGTTCTCTTCTGGCGTGGAGTTTATGTGAGTTGAAAACGGACTCTATGGCACCAGACAGCAACACCATAAACAAGTACAGGTTTAATCCTAGCTTCATAACATTATTTTGACTTCTTAACCTTAAGTCATTTAATTTTATTCACTTGTAAACTAAAGATTATAGTTCTGCATTTATTTCAAGTGAAACTATGTATAAAAGTTTACTGAAAAATTTTGAAGCACTATTAATGAGTATTTTTAAAAATTTTGACAAAGAGCCAGGTAAGTAAAAAATATTTCTGGTAAGAGTTCCAGTTCATGCACAGCATGGATTTATTCTCCCCAAAATGTGTGCAAACAGTCTTCACGGTTAGTAGGCTGCTTCAGACAAGTCTTATCAATATTACACTTGGCATAATCTCATCAGGGTGCTTTTTTTTAAAGGAATGTTTTTTTGCCATGGACAAAATGATTTTCTGCTAGGGTCAGATGAAAATTTCACAAAGCTCAAATATTTGTTTTCCCACAATCATTGAAACTTTGCAACAAGTTTGTGGGAGTGCTACCCCACATAAAACAATAATTTTGATGGCTCAAGTGTGTTCAGAAAGATTTATTAGACTTCAAAGGTGAGTCAAGAGATGAATGAAGAAACTAAGGCTGAAGTTTAGAAACTGGTGGGAAAAGACCTTAGAATTATCATTGATGTTATGTGACCTGAGATTGGAGGCTCATGGGTTTGAGCATTTTCAATTTTAAGCCAACGTCCTTGACCCCTCAGCAAGCTTTCAGTTAGATGGCTGCCAAAAGTGTTTCATGAAGACCAGCTAGCTCTGAGCTGATCTTTCAATCAATCTTCAGGCAAGATTGAAGCTACTAGCAGTTTTATGGTATAAATCCTAATTTACCAATAGAATCTAAAGAGCAAGGTTTAATCCTAACAATGGCTTCTGAAGGGATTTGCTGAGTCAGTTAAATTCAAGATAGGTCAGCTGAGATAGTGTAGTGATTTGGGGGGGTGGACTCCAATGGGATAATCTTGATTTTCTTAAGGACACAAAATGTTTATGAGTTCACTTAGGAGCTAAAGTTTTAAGAACAGGGAAAATTGTATTGCTGAGAAATAGCCTAGGAAAGTTATGCCAAATAATTTTTCTTTCAATCCACGGCAATGCATATGCTCATTCATATAGAAAGGGATGTCCTCTGAGGATTTCATTGCAAACCTTACACTCCTTTTATCCCAGCTCACTGATCTTGCCTCTTCAGACTTCTTTATGTTTCTCAGAACTCAAAACATTTAAAATAAACATGATTTGAGCCCCCTCAAGGATGCTAGAACGGTTTTGATGTGGGTGTAAACTGAAGAAATGCACCCTACTTGAGGGGAGGGTAAGAAAGGTGGAAACACACTGTCTGCCTAAGTGTATATGTATACCCAAGAGGATGTCAAGAAATAATTGTTTCACATTTTGATGATTTTGTTTAATAAAGGATTTTGATTTTACAGCAATATATTTTGATTTACCCTCATAAGAAAACATCTTTTTCTTTGATAATATGTGAGAAATTGGAAACATGATACTTGAAATAAAATGAAATAAAATTAATTTCTAATTTTACCTACTTAACCCTCTTTTTCTTGGTAGCGGATACGTTGTTTTCACGAAAGCTGAATGGGAAATACAGACTTGAGCGACTTGTTCCTACTGCAGTTTATCAGCACATGAAAATGCATAAACGAATTCTTGGGCACTTGTCATCTGTGTACTGTGTAACTTTTGATAGAACTGGCAGACGGATATTTACTGTAAGTAAATCTTTCCATGTATTGTATGCATATATAGAATTGAATAAGCATTACATAAGGTTAAATTTTTTTTAATCTTTTTTTTCCCTTTTAATAGAATATTGAAATTTCAGGTAAATTAATTGCTATAATGGAAGATTTTACTTAGTCTTTATCAAAGTTTAAAAAGTTCCTCAAAGTGATTTAGCAAATCACAATTATGTCATGGTTTTACAAATCATGGATAATTGTAGTTCCCAGAATTTTATCAGATATGCTGCTATATGATCTACAAAATGTTCTACAATAATTTAATTCTAAACCCAAAGGTATTTCAGAAATCTGTTAGGTAAATTGTAATAGATTAAACGTGCCTTTTATGTTAGCTGTAGAAATCCACCTGCTAGTTAACGCTTGAAATAATGATAGTAAAAATCTGCCATTTATTTACCATTCTTTCTTACCTTTATTCTTAATACCTCATTCTTTAAAATGTTGTGTTGAAAGGAGCAGTTTGTGTTTTAAACTGTTAAATGGTGAAAAGCTGAACTTGGTCAGCTTTAAGTGAAAAAAATGACTTTAGTAAATATCTTGTTTGTTTTCAACTGCCTTACTAAGTATTAAATCCACTAAAGGCAGAACTTATACATATTATATTTGTTATTGACCTGAAAGTATACATTTATTTGGAGGTTAAAACTCCCATCTCAATATTTGGAAAACACAGCTGGGAATTTGAGTCATGACAATCATGCATTCCATTTTAATATGTTTGTAACATTAGAACTATTTGTGTATGCATCTTCCCCTCCCCCCAACCTGTACATCTGCCATATTTTAACGTAAATAATATGAGCATTAGATGCTCCTTGTAAATAACACGCTCCTTTACGGGTTTAGTTTCCTTTGTGTATGGGAAGAATATAGTAGTTAGTTGTCTGTAAAACAAAAAAATGTGGGAAAGATAATTTTTCCTTAGTTTTAATTGACTTAAGTCATTTGCAGGTGGTTTCCTAGCTTTGTATTCTCTGCCCTTTTTATCAACTGTGTTTTCTATGAAACAAAAATTAAATATCCTAAACTTTCTGACATTTTTTTCAGAGTGTGAACAGGCAGCTTTTTATTTGCAGAAGTGCTTTGATATACCTACAGTAGTTACTTGTTCTGGAATACTAATTAAAAATTATATTTAAAAAAATTATATTTAGCCATTTCTAATTTATTTTACTAAGACTTTTATTTATCTCTCAAAGCCTAAAGTAAACTTGACACTTCTAATGTTTGAAAGACTTAGTTAAAAGTCAATAATAAACAGAATTAATGAGGAAGAAGCTTTACATCTGTTTATACTTAAATTTATTGATTTCAAAATGATGTCATTGCACAGAGACTAAAAAAATATATATCTTAATTTCTTATGTATAGGGGTGGTAAACATTTATTTGCTTTACTGCATTAAGCATTATGTATTTCAGTTTGTATTAGGTAAATGATATCCAGGGAGTTTTGTAACACAGTATCTTTTGGTTATTAGTTTATGGCATGGTAGATACAAGGTTGAAAGAGGCTCTTAACTCTTGTTATTGAAAATAAATTTGTGTACAAATATGCTTGACACATGGATATATGTATGGATTGTAATAAGGTATGAGCCCCCATTAAATGATTAAAAAAAGCAAGAAAATAAATTTGATTGGAACAGCCATGTGCATTTGTGCACATAATGCCCATGGTTGTCTTTGTACTAAAATGCATAATCGAGTAGTTGTGACAAATACCGCATGCACTAAAAGCCTAAAATGGCTTTGTATAGAAAAATTTGTCAAGTTTTTCTTGACATACAATTTTTACTTTTCTGGGTATTTAATATTGGGAATAGAAGCAGTAATGTGAGGAAGAAGTAGCTTGTATTTGAACATATAATAAGTAAAGTGGAAGAGTAGTGTACTGTTTTTTGGTCTCAGCCAAAAATTGAAAAATTATCAAAGTTGTATATATTTGATATAATTTGCTGATTGTACCACCAAATCCATTGTTACACTTATAATATACTGGTGATGTTTGAATACAGAATACAAGATGAAAGCACATTTTCTATTTTCAGAACTTCAAACTAGTTCAGTAATGGCCTATGGAACAAAATTGGAACAGATCCAAATTTTAAAAGTTTAGGTGAAACAGAATGGAAAATATTATGTGTCGAAGCCCTGGAATGGGATACTCAGACATAATAATCCAATAGTTGAATTGTTGCCAGGATTGTGGGAAAAGTAAAAGTAACACAATTCAAAGCTTTGTGATTGGCAACCATCTTGAACGGAACATAGTTGTTACTAATTGCAGCTGGCGTGAGATTTGGTGCCCTATGCAGCATCTATGCTGCCCTTCTTTTCTAAAGAGGTGAAGTTTCTAGTAGGTTATCTGTAATTTTCACATTCCAGTTCACTTCATCGGTTATGGCTACACCAGGAAGAACTGGTGTGAATTCCTGTTTTTCTTATAATTCACAACCTGGTATGGCTGTGGGGTCTGAGAACACACCAATCATTGACCAGTGCTTTGAAAATTAGGTATAGAGTTTAAGTTGATAGTACGTGATAATTGACCAAAGATTCTTGCAAGAATACACATACGTATTGTTATTAATTGTAATAACCAGTGGGTAATGGACTGATCAGTATTTCTAGTTTTATATTTTAAAGTCTACTTGTTTGCTGCTTTATTTTCTGAAATACTGTATATGTTTTAGTTTCAGTTAAACACAAATTCTTGGAGTTTTTGAGGAAAAATGCAATGAAATAAATTTATTGATATTTAATAAGCTTGGTAGAATGATAGGGTACCTTCGTAGGATGGTAGGTACAGGAGACTGAATCAGGGATTAGTCACATCCAGCCTGTATTACTTATTAATACCTCTGTTTTTTAAGGTTCTAGTATAGATAAATTCAAAATATTTTTTTCAAGGGAAAAATTCTTTTTAGTTCTTTCTGAGTAGACTTGGCTAAAGGCAGTAAGTTATAGCACTGTGGTTAATCATAGGCTTTGGCAATCAAGGACTCTTATTTCAACTCAGTTTTTATTACTTCCTAGCAGTGTGACTTTGGCAGATTACCTTACTTTAAACTTAATTTTTTTCTTTTCTTTTTAAAAAAGAGTATGAGGACTATATAATAGTCCTATATAATAGTGCCATTTCCACAGAATTTTGAGGGTGTGGTATGATGTGATGCATGTGACTAGTATTAGCAGTAATTAGATATTTCCTGCTATGTTGCTAATTTTATAAAGGCTTTAGTGAAATTTATCTTTCAGTATTTGGAGGCATAGTGGGTTATGTGTTGGACGGCAAGGTCACCAGTTTGAAACTATGAGTCTCTCCACTTAAGAAAGGGATGCTTTCTATTCCTGCAAAGAGTTTATGTCTCAGGAACCCACAGGGGCAGTTTTACCCTTTTCTAAAGCAACGCCCTGATTCAGAATTTATTTGATAGCAATGAGTAAGTGAGAAAAGTATTATTTGTAAATGCTGTACAATTTTTAAGATGCCGTGGTAGAATCTGGATTGGACTGTTACTGGAAGGTCAGTGGTTCAAACCTATTTACTATCTTCTCAATAGGAGATTAGTGCTGGCTTTTGGCTTCCATAAGATTTATTGCCTTGTAAGCCCATCTAAGGATCACCGTTGAGTTGGAATCAAATAGATGGTGTTGGGTTTGTTATGAGTTACACAAACTGAAATGAAATTCTATATTAGAAAGGCTTATCTTTATTTTGTACTGAATATTTTGTATGTAACAGTACATAACAGTAGAATAATGAGAAGAACCAGGGGGAGATAACATAATTAACCAAGTCAGAGTGTGCTTCCTAGTTCTCTCTTAGCCTTTTAGCTTTTTTAATTTGGTTTATGAATCATTAACCTCAAATAATATTTACGAAAGATAAACAATTAATTCTCTTACAGGTGAGTCATTCACTCATAATATAAAAGCATATTGAAGATTATATTAAAAACAGGGTTTTTACCCCTTGTTAGGAAAATGGAATGTATCTTCATTTCAAATAAAGGCAGAGCTAAAGTGTTTTCCATAAATATATTTGTAATAAAAACTTGAGTTTATATATTACTTTAAGGAACTTGCATCTTTGTGATGAACCAACCCCTAAGCTAAGCACTTATGATACAGAAATGAGGGATGCAGTTTCTATCTATGGCGAGTTACTGATAGTAAACAAAATATTGAAACAATGTTCTAAGAACCTTGATAGTCTATGAGAGATACTTGGTATAATAAAAGCAGAGTCCATAATCTGTAGATAATGGCCATTTATTGCTATTAAGTCACTTCCGACTCAGGGTTGAGCTGTCCTTGGTGGTTTCTGAGACTAAACCTTTACAGGAGCAGAAAGCCTCTTAGCTCTCCCTTGGAGGTGCTGGTGACTTCTAACTGCTGTCCTGGAGTTAGCAGCTCAGTGTATAACCATCCACATCACAGGGCTCCTTTAGGAGGTGGTAAGGTAAAATGTTTTTGGGGAAGTGATGCTTTGCTGAATTCAGCCTAATTCTGCAGACAGAGGGAAAAGCATTTACAAAATTTGGAGGAAAAAACATGTTCAAGTAATTGTATTAAGATCAAGCTAAAGATGATGGAGCAAAATCTCCATGTTCTTTTATGATCGATTAACCTCGTAGGTTTTCTCCTCAAGATGATAGAGAGCTAATGATGGACTTAGACACAAGAATGATTAAAATTCCCTTTTTAAAAAATGATTTCTTTGTTGTTCTTGGATTATGAATTGACACTTGTTTATATACAACAGATCATTGAAAAAGTGTTTTCGCAGTGATCCAGGAAAGAAATTAGGACGGTGAACGGAGTTAACAGTGGAAGTATAGTTAGAAATAGTAGACTAAGGTTCTGAAGACCAATTTGAATGTAAGGAGGAGAGGAGTGAGGTACCAGTATGATCTGGTGTATTTTTAATTTGTATGACTGGTTAGATTCTAACCAGCAGTT